TTACATAGTCCGTTATATTGAGACATATTTTTGGCATAGAAAGTGATCGAATTGGAGAATGATGTCTGAATCAAAGTTGTAGCCAGATGGGTTAGCTTTCCAACGCATTTTGAATCGCCTCAATCGAATATCAGAATACAAAGTTATGATAAAAACACTGAAAGAAGGTGCAGCTGCCTGTTTAAAACAAGAAATTCCGTTAGATAATCCGTTAAAATAACAAATTCCGTTAAATAGACACTTTTTATATAATAAAGAAAGATTTATATAAATTACGATTTAATTAATAAATGGTCGAAATGCTGCTATAATTTTTTATTGTTGACATAATAAAAACGTAATAATATTATCACAGTTTACTAGTCAAATTCAAAATACTCAGCCTTTAATGACAACTTTATCCTCAACAAAACTCTTAAATCACATCTCTGTTCTAGAAAATGAATGAAGAAAAGTCTTTTAAGTATTTCAGTCTCCCTCTCTTTATAAATTAGTTGCCAACCTTGAATTTCTACACACGTACTTTCTTTCTCTAGCAAAAATGGCGTCCCTGAATTGTTCAGCGGACCAACTGGCCTTATTCTTCGGCCCCAACACCACCAACGCCTCTGGCGCCGCCGACTACATATGCCGGCAGTTCACCGGTGTGACGGACAGATTCACCGACACCACCTTTGCCGTTGATTCTACTTACCTTCTTTTCTCAGCCTACCTCGTCTTCTCCATGCAGCTTGGTTTCGCCATGCTCTGCGCCGGATCCGTCCGTGCCAAGAATTCCATGAATATCATGCTGACAAACGTCCTGGACGCCGCCGCCGGTGGGCTTTTCTACTATATGTTCGGCTTCGCTTTCGCCTTCGGCGGCCCCTCCAACGGCTTCATCGGAAAACACTACTTTGGGCTGAAAGAGATACCTTCTTCATCGTACGATTACAGTTCGTTTTTGTATCAATGGGCTTTTGCTATAGCCGCCGCCGGTATTACAAGCGGCTCTATAGCTGAGAGAACACAATTCGTTGCGTATTTGATTTACTCTTCATTCCTCACCGGATTTGTATACCCAGTAGTTTCGCATTGGTTTTGGTCGCCTGATGGCTGGGCCAGTGCTTTTAACACCAACGATCTTCTATTCGGGTCCGGAGTCATCGATTTTGCCGGATCGGGTGTTGTTCATATGGTTGGTGGCTTTGCAGGGTTGTACGGTGCATTAATTGAAGGCCCGAGGATCGGACGATTCGACCAAAACGGCCGTGCGGTGGCGTTGCGGGGCCACAGCGCGTCGTTGGTTGTGCTCGGAACTTTCATGTTATGGTTCGGTTGGTACGGGTTTAATCCCGGTTCTTTTAACAAGATTCTCTTCCCGTATGTCAGTGGGAGTTATTACGGACAGTGGAGCGCCATCGGCCGCACGGCGGTCACCACCACCTTAGCTGGCTGCACCGCCGCGTTGACCACACTCTTCGGGAAGAGAATCCTGTCGGGACACTGGAACGTGACAGATGTTTGTAACGGGTTATTGGGCGGTTTCGCTGCCATCACGGCTGGGTGTTCGGTGGTCCAGCCGTGGGCAGCTATTATATGTGGGTTTGTGGCGGCGCTGGTGCTGATTGGGTGCAACAAACTGGCGGAGAAAGTCAAGTTTGACGACCCACTAGAGGCTGCGCAGCTCCATGGTGGCTGTGGCGCATGGGGTGTAATTTTTACGGCATTGTTTGCCACCGAGAAGTACGTGAACGAAGTGTACCCGGGCAAACCGGGTCGACCATACGGGTTGTTCATGGGTGGTGGTGGGAGGCTATTGGCTGCACATATTATCCAAATTCTTGTGATAATCGGGTGGGTCACTGCAACCATGGGTCCTTTGTTCTTAATTTTGCACAAACTCAAGCTTCTTCGGATCTCCGAGGACGATGAATTAGCGGGTATGGATATGACCCGACATGGTGGGTTCGCGTATGTATATGAAGACGATGCGGAAGCACACAAGCATGGGATACAAATGAGAAAAATAGAACCAACTTCAATTACTCCAAATTGATTAGTATTTCTTAATATCGAATTTAATTATTTAATCTGCATTTTTGTTGAATTTTGAGCACGTAATTTAGAACTAGTTTGTTCATTATAATTAGATTAAGAATGGAAAAAGAAAAAGAAAGTGTGTATTGAGTAATATATTCGGTTGTGATTTGGTTGTGAAAGATATGGAAATCTTCTTTTGAGATTATTCAGCTATTGAGCCGTTCGTTTGTTGGGTTTTGACACGTGAAATTTAAACGAAATAATAATGTTATAGTACATTTTTTACATGATTGTGGATGTCACGCTAAATTGTCCAACACATTTCACTTCATTAAACAATGTGTCGATGGAATTCATAACAATATAGATAGGTTCTACATACAGTAGTGCTACATAATATTTGACGTAGTGAAAACTTATAGAAAAGATAAAAATTCTCACAAAGAATTTCAATGAATAGAAACTCCAGAAAAATGTTATTTCTTCGATCACTGCTGCCTCAAAAGGTTTACAATGTTTAATATATAGTGAAAACCTTAAAAAAATTCGAAAAAATTATATAATAAAAAATATATATTATTTTTTTCAAAAAATGAAAAAAATTGAGATAATGACGGATTTTGAATCTCCTAATTATCACGAACGTCCCTCAACAAACGGAATTCAAATCTGAATTTATTTGATTGAGATATGCCCAAAATAAAATTTACCAAAAAAGGCAAAAACGGACAACCCCGAAATTTCTCCAAAAATCGAAAAATTGCTTATTTCAGTTTACGCCGATCCCACTTTACCATAAAATCTAATTATTATGCCACCACATCAATATTACTCTAAACAAAAATGTGAAAGAGAATGAACCGCACACGGATTTTCTATGCTAGCACCTTATATTTTCAATACTAAGAGCTTGTTTGGGAGTGATTAAAATCAGATTAAAATTGAAAATATAGCCGTTATTGTTAACTTTTATTAGACGGGTGGGACCCAATAATGGCAATATTTTCAATTTTAATTGGATTTTAAGCCCTCCCGAACGGGGCCTAAATTAGGGAAAAAAAAAAAAATCCTAAAACGAAAGTGTTTGAGATAATTGGTATTGGGTGGTTGTGGCTGAAGATAATATGAAAGTGGACTATATTGGTTTGGCTTTATCATATTGACCAAGACTTTACGCATCCCTCCTTCGTTATTACGCCAACAAATTTGTGGACCTTTCCTTCTTCATGTTTGTATTTTTTTAGTGAGTTGTGGAGTCCATTCATTAATCAACAATGTCGCATTTGATAGGGTTTTGGATTGGAGATGTCACATCCAATCTAAAGAGTTCATAGTCAAAAATTGTTGGACGTGAAAAATAAATATTTAGATATTTTTCCGAGTTTTTTTTTTGTGGGTTATGAATATGGAGACTTATGAGTACACAACGAATTGATGAAGTCGATATGAATATAATTTATACGATCATGCTACATACACATCATCCTTTACATCTTTTTTGACATTTTGCTACATGGCGACAAAAACAAGTTTTCCTCGTAATTTTCAAAAAACAAAGGCAATGTAAAAAACAATGTAAAGAAATGAGTGTATATTTAGTATTATTGTAATTTATATGGACACGTAATCCATATGTTTGATTTGATCAATTAGAGAGCGAATAGAATAATGAGTTGGAGTTATAGACGTCCGGACAAATTTATTGAAGAATTGAGGTAAAGGTTGGTGTATTGATGAATGAGCATCTATATATAAGTACTTTGTAGTGCCACGGGACTCACACTTCAATGTGAGAATCTTGTGATGCTATTTCGCCTATTTATTGGTTGAAATGATACAAGAGGTAATCTTTAAAGTTCAATGCTTGGACATAGAGACATGAATTGGATTGGACATTAAAAGTTAAAATTCTTGAGTATAGAGACATAAATGTGGATTCAAATGTTTGAGTACATCATCAGAAGTAACTCTTTAGGTTTTGGTTGCAGTGAGTAGAGATGTAAAAGTATGTTTCAACTTTCAAGTTTATGTAAATGTAAAGAGTCAAGAGTACCGAGGGATAGGGTATGCTCGACGCCTCGACCTGACTCTAATTTAGGGCAAGCTGTCCACTCCTATCGTCTTAATTTTAAATTAAAAAAAAAAAAAATTAAAATAGCAAAAGGGCCAAATGGGGGCAATTATCATTAATTCATTAATTTTATAAAGAATCAGAATTTATTTTTTTATTTCATGTCGATGCTTGTGAGTAGTGACACCAAGTTGGAAGCCAATTAAATGCATGATGGATAGATCTACTTTACAATGTGAGGCCCCTGGCAATAATGCTCCTGTACTTGGAGCATTATTGATATAATAATGGAAAACACATGCCTATATTTGGCACTCATTCTCTTTAATTTTTTTCCCTTTCTTCATTTTAACTATACATTTTTCAAATAAAATAATATTATACACAAATCTGAAACTTATCCATCATATATTCTCCCATCAATCACTATTCCAAAATTTCTATTCACATAGTTGTGTTTGTCTACCATTATTTGGAGAAAAATAGAGTAATTAATAGTTTTTTTGGGAAAATGTGTAGTTGAAAAGTAAAGTAACTTTATTGGTTTGTGTGTATAATATTTTATTAAATGAATGTGTGGTGGATAATCTTATTGTAGCAAACAATTTTTTGAAATAATGGTAGACAAACCGAGGCTAAAATGGGTGCCAAACACTTAGATAATATGATTACCCTAAGGGCAAAAACTAAGTACTTATTTTTCTATGTTTTGTAGAATTTTGGTACGTGTACATTGTTGTGTAGATCTTGCTTTACATCCCGACCTATGTGGAGGGTGGAAATGCATTGATGGAATTTCAAGATTCAAATTTAATGGTGTAGAAGATGTTACGTGTTATAAGATAAAGAATGATGTAAAAAATAAAGTACATGGAGCTGACTGTTTTGTAAGTTAAAATAGTCATTATATATTTGGTAGGTTAAAATAGACATCACAACGGATAAGTTCTTATGTATTTAAATTGATATTTTTAAACATGATATGTCAGGTATAGTTAGGATCTTTTTGGCATGACTTTTGAGCAACCAAAACAAGGTTTTGAGATTCAAAAGTTACTTTTGGACCTGTTCGACTAATTTTATGATAGTATTTTTTTAATTAAAAAAAACTTTTAGGGGAACCTAATTCAATATTGCTTCATTTAAAAGTACTTTTAGAATATAAAACTCGTTTAAAAAGTAATTTCTAAACAAAAATTAAAGTAATTTTTTCATGATATTCTCCTTCCACGAGTAAAAGTCATGTCAAACCAACCTTTACACTACTATCTAAATTAGCATTAGCAATGACACTTGTCACGACACGTTCGATCTTATTAATGAACCACTAAAAATATTGAAAAAAGCGACTTTTAAATAGAGCAATGTTATTCACAGTTCACTTAACATAGCGTATACAACAAAGTTAAGGTGCAATAATTGCGAGCAAATAACAAAGTTGTTGGGAAGTTTCATTTGTATTTTCCAAAGTGTATGAGCTGCAATAGCCAGTCGATTCTTTATTGCATATAATGCTGGGTATTCGGTGGAGCGTTTACGAGTCGATGTCCCAAAGACTTTTAAGGCTGCTAAGGTTGACTAATGAAAAGATAGATAATTTTTTGGTAATTTATTGAAAAAAAAAAGTTCCCTTTTGAGTTAACAAATTAGAGAAATTGTTACTTTTTGTTTGGTGGTGGCCTACTTCGAGACTAAATATTTTACAGTCACGTCGTGACATAATCTCATAACAATAATATGTTACCTTTGAAGATTGAAATGCCATTTTCACAATACATTCTAATGGATCCACAAGTACTGTTTACTTATTCATTCACTAGTTTTTATTTATTTATAAATTAAAATCGTTCATAAATTCTTCCGAAAGGAGGCTAAAGCTTTTTCAAATCATTTTTTTTTCAATATTTTTTTGGTAACGTGATTTAATATAAGACAAGGTTGTGTGTTCACATTTCGATGTTGGATTTTTACTTTTCTTAGTCAAAGAACCAATATTCTATATTCACACCATCTCTGACCACAGCTACCCAACCAACATACTTTCCTTTTTTTTATTCTGTTTAAATTTAATGCTGAAAATTCAACAAAGCAATTATATACAAGATGAAATATAAGTGATAACCACCCAAGAATCCTTAGAAACATCTACCACGTTCAAGTGTCTACATAAGAATCTTAGAATTAATGCAGAGCATGATTCGAATACAATAGTAAATCCTCGAAGTAAGATACTTGGGATGGATTTTTGAACCTAGTCCTAGGTCTTAAAAGTCTCGATTGGAAGTGTTGAACAAGGTAATGTACCTCGAGAGATTCCCCTTCAACAAAACAAATAGCTACATATGATAGTAAGAAGAAACAATAGGTTCGCCCAAAGGCTGCAAACCTATTTCCACATTTAGGTTGGCTATAAGCTACATATGAGCAAATGACTGAAACGTAATTCTTAATCGAAATCAGTTATCAGACTACGACTAAGAGGCAACCACCAACACAACGCAAGAATTACCAAATACTCCCTCCCCACTCGAAGAAGTCATTCAAATTAAATATTTCTCCTCTTGTTTTAATTTACGCATCTGCACTAGCAAATTTAGAAGGTGAACCTCATAATTAGTTGATAGTATCTGTTGATCGTATTTACATTGATATTTGATTGTAACTGTTCATCAATAAAATCATTTGATTCAATTTTTACCGTCAATGGTAAATCTCTTGTTAGCTATAGCTTTTTGAAAAAAGTGATTTGTGTTACCCTACATAGATGGTATAAAAAGTCGTTTGATTTTTCTAAAGACGATGAGGATAATGCGTTGTCTACGCAATGTGCAGCCCGCCAAGTTTGTGGTGACCATCATGTGGGACAACGACGTTCCACTGTCCATAAGTGGTACATGGGCTAATAAAGGAACAAACGGGAGAGGAAGGGATTTCTTTAAGGGCAA